GTCTTCCAAAACAAAGTTGTTTGTTCTTTTTGGCAGGATGCTTTTAATATTCTTTGCCAACACCGTAATTCAAATGCATAATTCAAATTGCTATGTAGGACAGTCCTACTTTGACACACACGCAGTTGCTCTGAATTCAAATTAACTGGACTGAGACTGGTTTTACTAGTATCTGAATCCCAGTTCCACCATTTGCTACCAGCATTATCTTGGGAAAGTTACTTAGCCACCAAAAAACTGTCCCTTCTTTGTATATTGGGAATTACTGCTTGTGCAGGACTGTCATGAGGCTTAAATAGACTATATTTGTGAAATTACCTAGCATGATGTTCTTATATAAATGAGCCAAAGATAGCTTCTGCATACTAGCTCTAGGTTGTTTACTTCTTTATAGCAAACTGAGTCTCTTAATCCAAGAAATCATCTGGTTTCAGACTCAAATTTACACATTTGAGTTGTTTTGATTAAGATAAAACACTTGCTGACCCAGAGAGTCTCCACCTTGCTGTAGAAGGGTATCATGTAGGAATACTTAAGCTTCTACCGCCTCACTTCAATTCTTCCCTGGGACTTCCTTTATTCTTCTATGGTCTTCCTTATTCATTGTCCAGTTTTCACCTGCATAGGAGGCAAATGAAAATACCATGGCTTGGGTAGAAAAAGAACTAGCAGTTTTCTAAGATACATTTTGGAAAAAAGAAGAAGAAAAGGGGGGAACAGGGACTTTCTTCCTTATTTTCAATTTGCATTTGCCTTTATCGGCTCTACCAAAAAAAGTTGCAGATAATATTTAGAATTCATGAACTCCGAAAAAGTTCTGCTTTAGTGGTACTGTTGCTATCCCTTTATCCTCTATACCAACATATCTATATAAAATGTACCTTCATTCCATCTGTGTATATAAAACTGAAATTAAAGTTTCACTGATATACCCAAAGCAATACCCCATGATATTTTCTATGAAAATACTGTAAGGAAATTCTATTTCTAAGGAGAGGGAGGAAAGAGTATGAATTATTTTTGAACCAGTTGTGTCATTAGTGTTGGTGTCACCCAATGTGGTAACTTATGGTTTCACTCCACCCCATGGGCCTCCTCCCTTATCAAACCATACATAATCCTTAGTAGTGATGTTTTTGTACTTACGTACTCATAAATCATAATTCCCATATACCTCTGAATGCAATGGTAATAATAGTGACATAAAGAACTAGCAAAAATTAACATTATGTTTTTAAATTACAACAGTACATGCAGATGAAACCAAGTGATTTGATTGATCAATGTAATTGGGTAATAATGTGTCATTGTAATTGGGTAATAAGGACAGCTTTGAGTACACTGTTGTTATTAAGTGCCTTGGTGTTGGTTCTGACTCACAGTGACCCTGTGCAGGGTTTTGGGGCAAGAGCTGATGATGGGTTTGAACAGCAGACCTTGTGGTGACCCTACAGCGCCACACCAGAAGTCTGACTACTGCATTTAAGAAGGTTCAAAAAGTAAATCAACATAGAGTTATATCCTTGCAAGTACACATGTAAACTGTTGTTAAGTGTCTTCGAACACAGCAATCTGTATTGGGTTTCCCAGGAGACGCTGATGGGTTTGAACCACCAACTTTGTGGTTAGCAGTCCAGTGCTTATCCAATAGCAGCACACTAGGAATCTATATAAACTAGGCTTACAAAAATAATGCTTTCATTGTTATAACTTACTACTGGTACATTTTTATAGAGAAAGAATAAATTTCTCCTGAAAAGACTTCACAAAAATTGTATAGACAGTCATTTTGGTATCATTCCTCCACCAGTATCACCAGGTGAGGTTCACATCCTTCACACTCCCCATGACCCCGTAATGACACCACTGTTTAAACTTCAGATTTTGTGACCTTCCTGATACTTAATATAAAAGTTGACTATGACAAATATTTCTTCCCAAGCACTTCCCAAGTCATTGCACAAAGCCCAAATGCAATTACTGTTGTTTGGGGAGATAGAAAACAAAATCTACTCCCAGCCCTGAAAACCTCTCCACAAAACACAAGAGAAAGAAAACAGTGTTAATTATTGAAGAAATATTAAACCGCAATGTGACACACAAGGTAATCCCCTAAAGAAACAGCACAGACAGAAATAAAATTTGCCCATTATTTGGCCAAGTGAATACAGTCCATTACATTTATGTTTTCCAGAAAAAAAAAAATTTGTTAATTTTTAATAACTTTTTGGCCAGAGTAAGATTTACAATTCTGGACCAAGGCCACCTGAAGCGATGACAATCTCCTTGTAAGAACCGGGAAGATAGTGGAGGATTTGTTTGGAGTTAAATTTCAGAAAGGTGCCTGCCAAGTCCAGGATTTACATATTTACTACATACTCCTCTATAGGCTTGTTTTCTTTGTTGTATAAGTGCCTTTGAGTAGATTCCCACTTATAGTGAGAAGGGGGTGGGGTGGGTTTGAACCACCCTCCCTAAGGGTGTTGTTGTTGTTGTCAGGTGCCATCGAGTCGGAACCGACTCATAGCGACCCCATGCACAGCAGAACGAAACAATGTCCGATCCTGGGCCAACCTCACTACCGCTGCCACACTTGAGTCCATAAATGATGCCACCTGGCTGATTCATCTCGTTGGGGGTCTTCCTCTTTTTCTCTGACCCTCCACCTTACGCAGCATGACATCCTTCTCCAATGATTGTTTCCTCCGGACAATATGTCCAAAGTAGGAGAGACGAAGCTTAGCCATCCTGGCTTCCAAGGAGCACTCTGGCTGCACTTCTTCCAAAACAGATCTATTGGTTCTTTTGGCAGTCCATGGCACTTTCAGTATTCTCCTCCAACACCACAACTCAAAGGCATCAATTCTTCTACAATCTCCTTTATTCACTGTCCACCTGAGGGTGTAGTCCAGTACTTACTCTAAGCGCCACACCAGGACTCCCATCTATACGCTGTTGTTGTTAAGTGCTCTCCAGTCAGATCCAATTCATAGCAACCCTGTATAGGACTTTCAAGGAGCAGCTGGTGGGCTTGAACTGCCCATCTTGTGGTTCACAGTCCACTGCTGATCCTACAGCGCCACACTAGGATACTAAATAAAAAACTACATAGATTGTCTTTAGACCAAGTAATATTCTTTTCATTTTATTGTTCGTCCTGGAGTCAGTGATTAGGAGTTGACATGGATAAGGATAAATGACTTTTAAAATTATTAAAATGAAATACATGCTTTTCTACAAAGTCCAAAAAAAAATTTTTTTTTCAGTGAAAAATGTTTATTCAAATGTATTGCTCATCTTTCTGGAAGCAGTTCTCTTTCAAATGATCAAAATTTTCAGGTGGCTTCGTTTTAACTCTTCTCCAAAGGACAAATTTTCCTGTCTTTCAGATGTTGTTGCTGTTATATGTCCTTGGGTCCGTTCAGATCCTGTATAGGGTTTCTAGGAGCGACTAGTGAGTTCGAACCGCCGACCCTTCGGTGCAGTGTATTATCCTACAGCGCCGCACCAAGACTCCAGAAAGTGTGCTTAATTCAAACATACAGCCCTTTGTTAGCAAGGAGCCGAACCACTGCCCTCCTCAGGAGTCTTAAAGACAGGAAATGGTATTTGCATCCATTATCTAGAGAGGCAACAATGGAGTTCCAAAAAAAAAAAAAACCATCTGGTCTGGGGAAAGTTGGTTATTCTTGTAAGAGACAGAAATTTATCAAATTCATGAAATATGAGTGCAACTAACCCTCTACGACCGTTTGATAAGAACGGGAGAAAGTAGGCAAAATATTATCTTAACCCCAAACATTCTTGGGTTTCTGAAAAAGACAGATAGGAAGCTTTGCTCGGATCTGGATTTTGTCCCTCCCAGATTTCTGAGGTGGCGAGCAATCGCTCTGCTCTGTTGCTGGAGCCAATTGCAGAACACAAAACAAAGCCCAGCCCAGCACAGCGGAAGAAACGGTTTATGAGTTGTTGGTTTCTTTTTGATAGAGAGCCCTTCTCTGCTCTTGTGTTTACTCGGATTTTTTAACCGAGCCACCCCCAAAGCAATTTAGTGTGCCTGCTAAAGCAAAGCTCGCAGCTACAAAAATGATAAAATTCATACTAAATTGCCTTCTGCTTGTACCTATACTCCTTATCTTCATCTTAGAATCTTTCGTGAAGCTTTTTATTCCTAAGAAGAGGAAATCAGTCGTTGGAGAAATCGTACTGATTACTGGAGCTGGACATGGAATTGGGAGACTGACCGCCTATGAATTTGCCAAACTTCAAACCAAACTCGTCCTGTGGGATATAAATAAGGTACTAATACTGACTTTGTTTTACTTTCTTGTACTTTTAATCTGTGGACACTGCCACATTTTGCAAGAAATATTCTTTTCTAGCATCTGTAAAAACGTAGGTAGAAAACAATTACTCTTTTTATTTTACAGATGGAAGGGGGAGAATATAAATTGGTTAACGTGTTTACTCTCGCATGAATAACGGACTAGAAGATGTAAACTTCCTAGTTACTGCCTATTTGTAAATTGGTATTGTAAATTTATCCTCATTTTTACACTGAAACCAATTTGTAATATCCTCCGGAACCTGATTTCACCGATTCCTCTATCATCCGGGGAAAGTATTGTTTAAGTAGTGTAGTAAAAGAGTAAGAGGCTTGGACCTGTTAACAAGTTCTGCAGTTACTGGTATGTCGTTTTACGTGCCGTCGAGTTGGTCCAGACTCCTAGCGACCCTGTTTAGTGTTTCCCGGGCTTTTAAGTCTTTGCGGGAGCAGAAAACCATATCAGTCTCCTGAGGAATGACTGGCGGGCTCGAACCCCGGTCCTTGTGTTTCGCAGTCTAGTGCTTATCGCTTGAGTTTTAAAGAATATGCCCCACAGAAAGCAATATTATTCTGCCAAGATTAATTTTAAAATATAGTAATAATCCTTTTGATAATAACAATAATAGAAAATAAAGATCTCCAAAGTGATTTATTATCCAAGTTAGGTGTAGGCTTAGGTTAGAAGGACCCTGTGTTCTTACTATGTACATATTCAGATGTACAGAGGACTTCTGAAAAGTACCTGGTCATCAGAAGCCCCACCCATTACTTACCAGACCAGTCGACATTCAGCACTGTAAACAAGAATTTCATTCAGAGGGTGTGTAGTTACAGGAGAGCTGAGCTGTGAGTGACTGAGAGCGTCATCAACAAATAGTATCTACCTAGTAGGTGTGAGGGACACAGTGGTGGTAAACAGGGTAGACAAGGGCCCTTGCCCTCAGTCTAGTAGGAAAGATGTTGTTAAGTGCGGTTGAGTCGGTTTCGACTAATAGTGACCCATAAAAGGTTTCCGAGGAGCGGCTGGTGAGTTTGAACTCACGACCTTGCTGTCCAGTGCATTATCCGGAGGACTCCATAGTAGTAGTAATAATTAAGTGCCGTCTAGTTGGTCAGGTTGGTTTCCAGGAGTCCTGGTGTGGCGCTGTGGGTTAATGTACCAGACTGCAAAGCCGTTTGAACTGTAAGGTCGGCGGTTCAAGCTCACCAGCTGCTCCTCGGAAACTCTATACAGGGTCACTATGGGTTGGAGTCGACTTGATGGCACTTGACAAAAACAACAACAGTCGGTCTAGTAGGTTTCCAGGAGTCCTGGTGTGGCACTGTGGGTTAATGCACCAGACTGCAAAGCCGTTTGAACTGCAAGGTTGGCGGTTTCCAGCTGCTCCTTGGAAACCCTATACAGGGTCGTTATGGGTAGGAACCGACTCGACGGTACTTAACAACAACAACAACAAAGTCGGTTTCCAGCAGGAAAAATAGATTCTATTAAATAATTACACATGCAGCAAAAAGATACAGGAACTATGTATGAGGCCATGATTAGGCCTGGCGTGCTGGTTGTTGTTGTTAAATGCAGTCAGTCAATTCTGACTCATGTTGTTGTTGTGAAGTCCATCGTGTCGATTCTGACCCATAGCGACACTGTACAGGGTTTCCGAGGAGCAGCTGGTGAGCTTGAACCTTGCGGTTCAAACGACTTTGCAGTCTGTGGCATTAACCCACAATGCCACACCACAACTTCTGCTGCCCTGAATAAGGTTTCCGAGGAGTAGCTGGTGGGTTTGAACTGCCGACCTTGAGGTTAGCGGTGAAGTGTTTATCCTGGCGTGCCACCCCCAGAATTCTAGGATGATGGTAAATCTGTGCTTTCCATTTATTCATTGGGCAACCCAACTTCTCTGAGCTTCAGTTTCTTTTTCTGCAAAATGGATAAAATAACTACCAAGTATGCTTGAATGCTCCTTGGAAACCCTATACAGGGTCGCTATGGGTCAGAACTGACTCTACGGCACTTAAGAACAACAACATGCTTGAATGGGAGTCCTGGTATGGCGCCAGAATGCAAACTCTTTGGAACTGTAAAACCTATACAGGGTCACTATAGGTCGGAACCAATTCAATGGCATTTAACAACAACAACAATGCTTAACTGACTAAATACCTGTCTGAAATAGTTTCATTTAGTAATCTAGCAGATTTTTAATTGCTTCCATTGGAAAAAGTGGATCTTGAGTCTTCTAACTTTAATTATTGAAAAAGATATGGAATACTTAGCTTGCTTAATTGATAGTTGAATTTAGATTATTGTTGTTGTTGTTGTTAAATGTAAAAGAGTTGGTTCCAACTCACAGTGTCCCTGTATCGGATTTCTGAGGCTGTAAATCTTTATAGGAGCAGAAAGCCTCATATTTCTCTAGAGGAGTGATTGGTGGATTTGAACTGCCAACCTGGTGGTTAGCAGATCAGTGCTTCTCATACAGCATCACCAATACTTATATAAATTCACATTTAAGCCTTAATCCAAAATATTCTGTGAGATATTCCCTTAAAATAAAAAAATATATGAAATTATTTATAAGCAAGCAAATAAAAACAAAACCTAATGATATGATCCTGAATTTGATGTGATTCATAATCAGTGTTCCAGACTGGATTCATCTCCCTTTCCCTAATTTTGCTCTCTTCTTATAACTTGTATAAGAGTAAGAATAAGTATTTTGTTAAAATAAAAGCAAAGAGATTTATATATTTCAAGTTTATCAAAATGGGAAAGCAGTTTGAATCAGGGATATGCTCAATCTGCTAAATGAGACAAGGACTCTAAGGAGTGGAATGCAAACAGGGATATTTATACAATAAAATTAGGAACCGACAGTATAATTTTCTGCTTGGTGCCCCAGGATAATGCACTGGACTGCAGGTTTGTTTAAACTGCAAGGCTGGCGATTCAAATCCACCAGCTGCTCTTCATAAACTCTATGTAGGATCGCTGTTAGTCGGAACGGACTCGATGGAACTGAACAACAGCTGCAGTCTGCAAAGTAGGGAAGTTAGGGGTGAGTTAACTCGAAGTAGGGCTTTATGTTGATAGACTTACAGGGTATATGTGGGTTTCACAATTACATGAGGTAATTGTAAAAGTGCATGAATAAAGGGCAGCTTACAGGGTGATCAAAAAACATCTCTTTTCTGAGAACTTTCTTTTAAAATAGCTTAGATTTTAAAAAAACAAAACATTTCCCTAGGGCTGCCTGTACAGGAGATTTCAGCTAATTCTTTGAGGTCAAGACCCTTTCAGAGATGCTTCATTAGCATCCTTCCCTAGTTCAATCTTTTTTTTAAAAAAGTTTTTATTGTGAACTATGTGATAGTTTACATGGGAGAACATTAGCTTTATATTCATCCTATTAGGCATATTCTTAACTAAAAAGCCTTTCAGGGATGCTCTGTTAGCATCCTTCCCTAGCTTAGGCATATTCTTAACTACAGGTTTAAATATGTGTCAGACTTTACTGGTTGCTAGGTAAGACCGTAGAAGTTAAGATGGAACCTTGACTCAGACGTATTCTAGTCATCAACTTTGGTGCTCGCACACAAATCCCTATCTCAGATGTTGCAGCATCTTGCCAGTTCCCCCAAATAATCATACTACCCTTGAGTAAATCACACTCATAGCAACTCTGTAGAGTTACCAAGGCTGCAATCTTTATGGGAACAGACTGCTACATTTTTATCCCATAGAATGGCTGATGGGTTAGAATTAATTGCCCGCCTTTCAGTTAGCAGCTGAATGCTTAACTAGTGCATCACTAGGTCTCCTCTCCTGCCAGTTAAACCAAAACCAAACTCGCTGTTGCCAAATCAGTAGTCTTCATTCCTCTCTCACCATCCTCAACCAATCATCAAGTTCTGCTGATTTTGTCTCTTAAAATATGTTGTTGCTGTTGCCAAGTGCCGTTCAGTCAGTTCCAACTCATAATGATTCTATATAAATTTTCTGAGAAGCGGCTAGTGGGTTTGAACTGCTGACCTTGTGATTAGCAGGCCAGCACTAATTCTATATTTTAATTATTCTCTCCTATGCATTCTTTTTTTTTAATTTTTTTTTTAAGTTTTTATTGTGAATTGACTGATAGTTTACATGGGGGGACAGCAGCCTTACACTCATTGTAAAGATTACAATCCTCTGCATGCATCATCATTCAACAGTATTTCCTCTGGTTTTCTTTATTTTATTTTTTTTAATGTACACCCAAACACTCAGAAATATACAGTCATTCAAACAACCAAAGGGCACAGCCCACAAGCCTGCCACACACACACCCCAGCTGCCAGCACACATTCCCTCCCCCTCCATGAATCTAGAGTCTTCAGCTGCTCAGTCTCTCACATCGCCATCTCTGCCTCCTTCTGTGGAGTCGCTGCTTCTCTGGGTAGGGTGCCACACTCTACTCCCGCTCCTCTCCCTTGATGTTCCAGGGTCCTCTGTTCCTGGACTGTAAGATCAACCACTCACTCCATTTTGCTACAAAACTTCTGCCTTTACTGTTGTGACAATCACAATTAGTCATGATAACAATTATTCACTATTGAATCATAAGAGTCTTATCCCCATCTCCTTTCACCAGACCTGTCTAGACAAGATGAAAACCATTCAGTCAGGATTCTACTTTCCCTTTCACATTCTGAATCTAAACTCCCTCTTGAAAATTTGTAAGCTAGTCACTTCATGCCTTTACAACCCCACCCTACCCCCATTTTAGGTAGCCAATGTCTAAGTTGCCCATCCCCATCAACCCTGTGTACAGAGGGGATGGGAATGATCCTTGCTGTGAAGATTCCTTCCCTCTTGATTGGTATTATTGCATCTCAGTGTAAAGAAAGAAAAA